ACGTTGTGTGAGTTTTATTATTGTAATGGCATTTAATGCCAGTTGCCCCTCAATCTACGGTTGAGATAAGCGAATTGCGGATTAATTGTGTGTCTTGGTGGCATTAGTAAAGCTTTAATATGAATATATATTTTATTTTTGAAAAAATCTATGGCAACAAATAAGAGATTTTGGGATACCTTTTTCTCTGTCTTGCTGAGAAAAGACTATTTCAATATCGATTTATTTTTGCCAAGAGAAAAGGTAAGCAAATAAGATGCCATGCAAGGCGAAGTTAAGTGGATATTCTTATTATATTCGAGAAAAAAATGGTCTTAATATTCCCACTTTGATTTGATGTTGAATCTAATAAAATATTCAGAGGATTACCTCCAAGCTGCGATATTAAATTAAACGAATTCTAAATGTTGTTAAATAACTAGCATTTGCATTTGTACAATAATAGTATGGTAGATTTTAGCTGAATTATTTTATAAACCAGATCTTATACCATTTATATATTATAAAAACTATCAATAGCTGATACTATTAAACTATAACTATATAAGTGCATCCTGAAACTTTTGGTTTCTCGAAAACTAGCCGAGAATATCAATTTAGTTGAACGTATTAATTATCGCACTAGAATTATATGATTAAATTAGTCTATATTTGGTCATATTCAAGTTAACAAAGATTAAGTGTATTATTTTAAAAGTATTTTGATGTTAAAATCATGGTTCAAGCATAATAATTACTTGTATAAAATAAGAATTTGTGAAGATAAGCTAGGCTTTGAATAAGCATCTAGGAGATAGATATTGACAAACTCTCATTCCGTTTGAGAAGACGGCAAAATAGATTCGTAGCTTTCGCTAATCGGACACCAAAGGAAGGTTGCCTTTGACATTTGTCCATTAGGTTGTGCAAGGAAGACTTCGGCTCATCGTCTTATGACCCTAATGACTCCGTGCTGAGCTGTCATCAATCATGTGATGGACATCGTCAGAGCCAGAAAACATTTTTCACGAACAATCAGGCAAGCTGACCAGCTGAGATCCCATCTACATCTTATACCTCACTTTGCGATCTTAATAAGGCATTTCCTGATTTGTTTGGCTGCTTTAGGCTTGTCCTATCTGCATGTGTGCGAGTGAAACTGATGTAGGGAGGGGAGTGGATGTATTCACAACTTTTGTCTATGTAAATATACTAGCGTATGATCCTGTAATCCTTGGCTTGTTTTAACATTATGAATGAATTTTCATTGTATACATGAAACACACCATTTGGTTGATAGTTTTAGATCCAAAAGCAGACTCCAGCTGAGTTGCTCTTCTTTTTCTCTTTCCTTCTCTCTCTCTATCTATATTTAGCAGCCAGAGTTATTTGCTTAGTTACCTACACTCGTTACTCTTAATCAAGATGTCCTTTATTTTATTAATTTCAATCGATTTCCTAGTCTTCCCCTTAGTTGTGAAGTCCCCATATACGGCAAAGCGTTAGAATTTAGACCACTCTATCTGGCCATGTGTTCTGATGACCTCTTATGCATAGGTCGACAAGACTGCCCCACATAAACCCTACCACTTCAGCATTAAACCTTATAACCACCTGGTCTGCAGAGGACATCTTAAGATTCTCTAAAAGAATGCATGATCAAGGAAAAAGTTAGTATTTCCTTATACATAGTCATGATGTTCCATTTCCTCATTAGTTCACCTATCTTCTTTGAAATATTGCAGGATGGAAACAATAGAAATTTGGACGAAGTGTTGTCCAATTCCATATTTTGTCCAAAATAATGGTTTCCTTTTATTCTATTTCTTGGTATTTTTACACCTTTAACTATTAATCCTAACTGATAAGTTTTATCAAATAGCCTTTTTTAAGCCTTTCTACCTCCGTCAGATCTAGACCTCTTTTTATCATTAATTTCATTATTCCAACTTAATCACAATAAGCATGATTCAAGAAGAAATTAATAGGAAAACCTGAATTTGTGGGCTCCCTATATACATCTCTGCCTAGGTTATTCCCTGCTTTAATAACTAGGACATCTAAAAAGGCTCAATTACTATCCTTTTCTAACTCCATAGTGAATCTAGTCTTCTTAGCTAATCTATTCGTTAACCCAATGAATACTTTTTTCGTAATTGAGTAGGTTTTCGAGATTACCATTACCTCAGATATATGAGTTGTGTTCACCCTATTTTGTTTAAGGAATTCTTCCAAGCACTTTTTCGCTGCTGCCAGATAGCAAAGTAATCGTACATATATTTGGCCAATAGTTCCGAAACTTGCATTATTTCTTGAAAATCATGACTTCTTATTGACCCATATAATTATTAGCTAACACTGAAGGCAAGCACGATCCAATACCTAAACCTCCGGTTTGCTCGTATAGTTTATTATTAAAAGTAAAATATGTAATATTCATTATTTAATTAGTCAATCTCACGATTAACTCCTTTCTTATCTTATTTCCTGATATAACCCCTGGGTATAGATCTAAGCTTAATCCTAAGGCCTTTATGGCCCATTTACTGGTATCATCGTATACGTCGATGATACATCAACACCTAGTACCAAATTTTCTTGTTCTATTATTTACTCATCTATTAGCTTGATAAAGTCAAGAATTTTTTATTAAAAATTTCCCAAAACCTGAGATTTGCTTTAATTGGCCACAAAGGAATCGTGATATTTTATGCATCACACCACCCTTTTTATTTACAATGATCCTAAGTGGGACGCCCTTTTTGTGGATTTTGGGCAGACCATATGCATTAGTAGGTGTGCGTCACGTAGGAGAAGTGCATTCATTTTCCATTTCCAAAATTCTTTACTATTAAAGCATTGTGGAAGGCTACTATTAAGTCTCGACTTTAGTGTTTGTGTAAGGTCCTTAGTTATAATCCTATACTTATTAAAATCGCCTAAAGCCCGTATAATCTTTTCTGTATAATCTGCTCAACAGATAACTACAACCCATCCCCTCTCCTACCCTCAAAACTATTTATTCGTGCTGTCGTAACTTCTTAGTAAAAGTATTAGTCTATATATTCTTATTTAGTACTCCAAAATGATTATTAATTAGAAGAATAACTTGTAGCATAATCTCACTTATAGTCTGTTCTGCTAATCAGCAAACAAAGTTAATAATTTCTACCAAAATCTCTTAAGTGATACACGTACTATTTGGCAAGGCATAATTAAGATGTCTTGATAGAACTTTCTCGGTAGTCATGTCCAATGATATTTTTTGGACAGGTTAGCCAGTTTCCGACCTAGCTTCATTTTCTCTTCTCCTGAAGAAGATTTCAGACAATTAATTAATGGTTTAATTCTAAAGCTTTTCCTTACCGGATGAAATACTATATCATATAATGTCAGACATTGATCGAGACTTCAGGAAATCCTCCAAATTAAGAGTATCGGAAAAATATTGCTTGAGTCTCGTTTTTGTTCTGAACAAATAATGTTATCTTGAAATGTTTTAAAGTAGGCTTTTTTTGATCAAATCATGAGCTATTGTTATGAGATCCCTCTTAGTTCTAATTGGCAAATTTGGTTTAGCAAGGATATAAAACTCAGGCATGGCACTACGCGAAGAACATACTTTCAAAAATCTAGAGTTATTTATTTGCCTGGCTATTAGTATCTTGGTCTTGGTATAAAGAGATGAGTTTAAAAATTGTTATCTAACTTATGAGTATTGCATATACACACGAAAACTCATCAACGAAGCTATAACAAGCCTCAGGATTACAGGATCATACGCTAGTTTATTTACATAGACAAAAGTTGCGACCACATCCGCTCCCCTCCCTGAATCAGTTTTATCGAAGACATGCATACAGAACAAGCATAAAGCAACGAACCAAATAATTGAATGTCTCATTAAGATCGCAAAGTGAGTTATAAGAAATAAGCAGGCTCTCAACTGGCCACCTTTTTTGGCGATTGTTTATGAATAATGGTTTCCGACTCTGACAGTTTCCGTCTTATGATGAACGAAGGCTCAGCATAGACTCCTTGTGGTCGTAGAGCGATGAACCGAGATCTAGTTTGCAAAATTAAACAGACAAAAGTCCAAGGCCTTCGGTGTCTGGTGAGAACAATCTACGAATATTTTCTATTCGCCTTCTAAAATGGAATGAAAGATATGTTAGTATGCACTGCGTTGTTTTGCTTAAATAGTTTACTGTTATTATTATTCCATTAGTCTTTGTTGAATAAACTCGTATATCTTCACCTTTTGTTCCTAACTCAAATTTATTTCAAAATAAATATTCTTTTGAATTCCAACATTTATATTTGTGTTTTTCGATAGCTTTAAAAGCTTTATAAGGACAAATCCCAGGCATATTGATGAATTTAAAGTTGCCATACAAATTGATCACGACGATGTAAAGGTTAGAGTTGCAATAAAAGATTTGCCACACTAGATCGCTTAAGATGAGTTAAGGGCGGATAGTTGGGTTTCTTTACATTAAAGTGAGAAAGCCTCGCTGCTACATAAATTTCACCTAATCTTTTCTTATCTAAACTTCCGTGTGCCTCGTATAACATAGCTTGTTGGGAGGCAAGAGTCAAATTAGCGTTATTAGTTATGAATAAATCAGAAATACCTATCGATACATTATCTTCTTTCCTACAAACGCAATTGGTTTGTTAAAGGCATACTCTAGTATTTTATTTAATTAAAGGCATTTAGATTCATTGAATATTCACTGTAAATACTACTCTACAGCATATAACAGAGTTATTTGTTCGCATTTTATTTATTTCCTTCTCCAATGAGTGTCCTAGTAGGCATGGTCATAGTTGGGCACATATTGGTTTTAAAAATATATTTGTGTTTTTTAATAAATTTAAATATCCAATTATAAATTCCTATTTAAACTGAATATGTGATTGGCTCTTTTATATTCTAGGAGCAATTTACTGCCATGCGAGATTTATACATAAAAAATGGACAGGGATTTGCGCTGTGCTACGCTATAACGTCCCAATCCTCGTTCAATGACCTCTTAGAGCTGCACCAACAGATTCTTCGCGTCAAGGATACCAGTGATGTACCCATGATCCTTGTAGGAAATAAATGTGACGTGGAGCCTGAAAGAGTTGTTGGTCGTGAACAAGGCCAAAACCTTGCCTCACGATGGAATTGCTCTTTTATGGAGACATCCGCCAAGGCTAAAGTAAACGTGAACGAGGTATATGTGCAGATTATCGAATAAAATTATATTTGTTATACCTTTTGCGAATATTTAGTTTGCATTATTAGACGAATTAAATTTATGCCGGTCAAATAAAATACCATTCATATAATTAGCCAAGATAAAAGTCTCTTGAGATATTGAAATAAAATCTCCAATTTTGCATTTAAATATTAAAGGTCTATTTAACAAAGAAATGGAGGTATTATTAAGTTGGTAATCACAAGATAACATATATACTTATTTCCTTCATTAAACTTCATTTTGTCTGCTTATCACAGTACTGATCAAAGAGGCTATCTTGGCAGACTCGTTGTGTGCACTCTCTCTTATTCTCGATGCTTTATATATTTGACATATGACTTGATGGGATTTGTAGCTAGGGAGCAGAGAGTGTCCGATCTCCATTTAATCGTAATTAACCAATCTTTTAAGTCTAAAACATCGTTAATTTAGAATAAGATTAGAAGATTACTCTCCAAAAATTGCTATTTTAAAGCTTAGTTGTAGATATTGCTAGAATTATACTTCTATAGAAGTCAGGTTGACTATTGACGCTATGGGACTATTCTTCTAGTTGATGACAGGCATAAATATATCCTTTTAAGATCACATTGTAGATCTAAATAAGTCATGATTTAGGCCAAAACTGCATCATTATTGGATTGTATAAGTATTAAGAATTGAGTTGTTTGTCAAACCTTTCCCTTATTGCACCACTGAGAATTTTACTATATAGCAGCAGATGACAGCTAAACTTTCCATCAAAGTTAACTTAAGGAATACTTTTTGCCATATTCTTTCATTGATCTATTCCAAAACAAGCTCAATAAGCCATTTATTCTTACTATATTTATCAAAAATTATTTCAAAGCTTGGAAAA